GATACTGATTTTGGTGTGTTTTAACAATTGAATTGTGTATTTTTATCGGTTTAATATTAATTTGAGAAACATTTGCGCAATTATCGCAGGGCCTACAAATTTAGTATCACCATCTTTTTATTCTACCGGGCCTGCGCTTTCAGAAAATATATGGTTTGGGGGGTCTTTTACAAACGCTAACAACGCAGCAGTTGAAAATCAAATCAATAGGAAAAAATTGCAGAAAATTCAAAAATGGCGCGGTCCAGCTGATTTGAAAAATGTTCCGGAGGGCTTGGCAGCGAAAGGGTTAAGGAAGCCAGGCGGCGTGTATTGGCTCACCACCTGGCTTCCTGATTAGCCGGGCGGCATGTAAAGACTCGTCACCCGGCTTTCTGATTAGCAGGTAAACGGCCTTCATGCTCCCTCATCACCAGGTGACCAACAGGAAGGTGGGGGGTGGGTAAGGACTCGCCGCCTGGCTTCCTGATTGGTCGAGAAGCTGGTCAATCAGATAACCGGGCAGCGAGTCATTACCTGGCGCCCGGCTTCCTGATTGGCCGGGAAGCCAGCTCCATGCTACCTCATCACCAGATGACGAGGGAGCATAAAGCCGGCTTTCTGGCCAATCAGGAAGCTGGGGGGCGGGTAATGGCTCGACATCCGGCTTCCTGTTTGGCCAGCTTCCCGACCAATCGGGAAGCTATGCGACGAGTCATTACACGCTGCCTAGCTTCCTGATTGGCCGGGAACCCGGCTCCCTCATCACCAAGTGACGAGGGAGCACGGAGGCGGCTTCTCGGCCAATCTGGATGCTGGGCAGCGTGTAATGACTCGCCCGGCTTCCTGATACCGGAAGCTTGGGTATCGGGCCAGGCATCGGAGCATTTGGGCAAGTATGAGTACTGGGTGCATCCCTACTTACAATGGATGCTGCTTCTTGATGTTTAAAGGTTTTTTTTTTCCCCCTGCAGAATCAGCCGGTCCTGATATCCTGTTTTAGGGGGGGCCCCTTTTCTTTACAGGGTCCTATGGAGCCACCCTTGTGTGTGTGGCTAGTAAATGGTGTGTCTCCGCAAACACACAGGGCAGGACACTCCCCTACTCCTATCTTCCCCAAGCTAGTAGATTGGCAGGCCCCTGGAGTCTGCTTTGTCCCTTGTGATCCTGTACTGGACAGGAAGTTCAGGGAAGCCAAGCTTAGAGAGTTGGAGCTGCTCGGAAATCTGATGACTGTAAGTGATACTTTTTTTTTGTTTTGATCCACATTGATTGTTGGAAAAAACAAACACTTGTGTTTAATACTATTTTAAAGGAGAACTATGGGGTTAAGTCTTTTCCCCATAGTTCTCCTTAGAGTAACGGGAGGTCACAAACTAGCGTCCTCCCGTCACCCTAGGCTCAGTATATAGGGAGCTACAGCTCGCGGTATACTGAGACGCCGCAGCCGGAGCGGATCCCGACAATTATGTCTGGATCCACCCAGACCTACTGCATGAGTACTGTACGTTCATATTTCATACTCCATTCTTACTCTTGCAGAGTTTGAAGCCGCTCGCAAACGCGCAAAGAAAGCCAAGCAGGCCTTTGAGCAGACGAAGAAGGAGAGGTTTGACCGGTTCAATGCGTGCTTCGAGTCTGTGGCCACCAACATCGATGAGATCTACAAAGCTTTGTCCAGAAACAGCAGTGCCCAGGTAAGATCTCCGGGTCACCTAAACCCGCCCGGCGGCTTCCGATACGTTTCGGTGTATTGGTGGCCATGACTCTTACCAAATCTCACTACGGGCAGGCTTTCCTGGGACCGGAGAACCCCGAGGAACCCTACTTGGATGGTATCAACTATAACTGCGTGGCTCCGGGGAAACGGTTCCGACCCATGGACAACTTGTCTGGAGGAGAGAAAACTGTCGCAGCTCTGGCTCTGCTCTTTGCCATCCACAGGTAAATGGGGAACGTGGATGAGGTTTATTTCTGGCTCACCCATCGGGGTCCGTTCTTGGCTTGCCGTTTGGAAAGTCTACTTTTTGCAACAATTTTAATAATATGCACTAGGGATGCACCGATACCAGTATCGATATCAGTGCCGATACCGAGTATTTGGGCGAGTACCAGGAAGCCGGGCAGCGCGTCTTTGCACGCTGCCCGGCTTCCTGAATGGCAGGGAAGGTGGCTCCATGCTCTCTCGTCACTTGTGATGAGAGAGCATGGAGCCGACTTCCCGGCCAATCAGGAAGCCGGGCAGCGCGTAATGGAAGCCGGGCACTGTGTCATGACTGTCGCACGACGGCTCAATAGATCGGGAAGTGAGCGAACGCATACCGTCACTCGCTCACTTCTCGATCCTGGAACCTCCTGTGACCCTAAGGAAAAGCACCGACCCCATAGTTCTCCTTTAATCCCAGTATAGACTTGTGTGGTTCTCATTACTGTCTCCCCCTTTTTGGTCCATAGTTACAAGCCGTCGCCATTCTTCGTTTTGGATGAAATAGACGCTGCTCTGGATAACACCAACATAGGAAAGGTGAGCCGGGGGCTGTGACCTTTGTGTTTTGTTGGGGTTTGTAGTTGCACCACAGCCGGATGGCCAGGGTTTAAACAGTGAGGTTCTGCCTATAACATATATGACCCGAAGGGCAGCTGGTTCTATGGATTGGGGCCATATCACTGATTTTTGGTGCTGATCTTCTTTGTAGGTGGCCAACTATATTAAGGAGCAGTCCATGACCAACTTCCAGGCAATCGTCATCTCCCTCAAGGAGGAGTTCTACACCAAGGCGGAAAGTTTGGTTGGAGTTTACCCGGAGGTAAGTGGGCCGGTATTAAACTCTGGTCTGTGATGTTGGGGGGATTGATGGTGGACTTGTACAGGGTTTTATTATGGTCATAGCCAAAAAACTTGTATTTTAATGTTATGTCACATTAACCACTTCAAGCTTTACCCATAGACTCAAAGTTGGCGGCGGGTCCTTTTCCCGCTCGCGTGTGTCCCCATTCATTTTAAACAGCTGGCAATGGCTGTTTACATACAAGCGTTCAGGTGACTATACTGTGGAGCCGGGGTGCCCATTAGGTCGATCGCAAAGCGAACACTGGCAGCTCGCGATCGGCTCACTGTCCTGTGCTCCCGCAGTGCTCGTGCGGGCTGCCGGCTGAATGTGTCAGAGGCCGCAGACGGGAAGGGGCGGGACACCTGTCCCCGTGTGCAACGTCGGCCACATTCGGCCACACAAGCACCG